GTTTTTGGAAAACTAAAAATGCTTAAGGTGTGCAGTGGATTGGTCACTGCACAATAATTGCTTCTGAAATGACAGGAGGCACACAAACCTGCCACAATAATCACACATTTACACATACACCCACACACACAGACTGGTTTCACATTTGTGTCGGTGCTGAACTCAGACGACATTCACATCCTTTGACTAAAACATCACCCACTATTATCATCATTTATCCCTTGGAATGGACACTGGTGTGTGGCTGTATGTGTGTAATATGCATAATTTCACGTTTCACACAGGTAATCAAAAACACACACACAAGTACACACACGCTTTCACACATTTTTAACATACAAAATACTGCTTAAGGCTAAAAGAAAATATTGATTCAAAGGAAGTTATCTGCTGATTTTACTATTAATTTATGGTTTTACCTTTGTCTTAAATATTTATTTAGATAGTGAGCATTAGATAATTGAGTAAAATTGTGGATGTCTGCAGGTATCATAGTGCTCGGACCACTGAGATGATCAGCACAATAAAAGCAGAAACACAGAGGCAACTGCTTTTATTCATTTACTTTCTTTCATTTTATATCTTTTTTTTCTTGACAATGAACGCAAGAAAAACATTAAAGATATAATGGGATAGTTTAGATATTTAGTTTAGAAAAAGGCTATGAACAGTTAATTTCTTATATTTTGTAGATACATAGGCTCTTTAAACAAGCCTATATTTGGAGAAATATCATTTTAATTTTGACGAGCTAAACAAACTAACAGCTAGTCCAAGCAAGGCCAATAAGAAAAGCAGAGCGTTCAATAGAAAAACCTCTTCTCCCAAAAACGTCATAGTGCTTTCAAAGCAAATGATAAACATGGTATTTTTACCCCAGAGGTTCCAAAGCCTGATCACTGTAGGCCACCAGTATAGCATGGTATAGCTGTTTCCATGCTTCAACACACCTGACTTAAATAAATGAATCATTGACACACATCTGCTAAACATGATGGCATTCTGAGTAGGTCAATTATTTATTTGAATCCGGTGTGTTGAAGCAGAGAAACAGCTAAAACATGCAGGACAGTCAGTGGGCCACGAGGACCAGGGTTATACACCCTTTTCTTTACCCCACTTTTAAATGAACATTACATGGTTATCCTGGCAGATTTGCCCTCAGGCTGCATCAGAAGTGCTACAGCTGCCTGTGATAATACTAGCCATTAGCTTGTGAGTTTGGTCGGAGATAAACTTTATTTAAGATAACAACTGTTCATAGCTTTGCCACAGAGGCCACCTTTATTTATATATAAAACTATTCTTATTTTAATTTATTTGAATTGATGTATATGACCTGTGTCAGTGGCCACTTAAATTGTAAGTGGGCATTTATTTTAAAACAACAGAAATGCGGCAGAATAAAAAGGAGAAAGAGAGATGAGAAAATGGGAAAGATGGCCTGAAAGGAAGGCTGGATGAATAAAARAGACTGAAAAATGGAGGAAAAGAAGCTAGAAGATGGGCTGCCACAGGACAGAAAGCTTTTTTAATGCACATTTCATATACTTTTTTTTATCTCACCCACTCAGCCCTTCTTTTTCACTCCCTCATCCACATGCAGGTCAGCTGTGAGAAAGCGAAAGGTGAAAAAAAAAGAAAAAGGGACTGTGGCGGTAAGCGGAGAAAGATAGAGCATCCTGCACTCTTCTGCCAATCAGCCTCTTCTGTCAAGCATTGCGGCGCGTGCCGCTTGCTGCGAGTCATGCAGGAACCCTTCCATTTAACTTGGTTATGTAAAAGGTTTTCACCGAGGCCTAAAGGAGGTGAGTGCCACAGACTAGATAAGGTCCCCTGTCTACCTGACGGGCCCTGCTGCAGGGAGGAATAGCTGGAGTGGAAGGGTGAGATGGAGACCCAATGAGTCTCCACTAAATACTTGAGAAGATGGCTGTGGGTGTAAACAAAGAGGCAGAGGATGGGCCGGGAGAAAGGAACAGGGTGGGAAACTGTGTGTCTGTATTTAAAAGATTTTTTCTGTTTGTTTTCAGTATGATTTAATGATTCTCTTGCAAAAGTATGAAAAGTTCCACCCTCTTTTCTCCCCAATCTTATTTGTTTAATTAACTTTTTTGTGTGACTGACTTCTTTGTCCTCTAGCATTTAAAAAAGAGTGCACTCCATTACAAAAAGCTTTATATACAGTATGTAATACACATACACTATCACCAATGTATTAACACCACATTAACAGAACCTGAGGCATGGTTTAAGAGCATCCAACAAACTCCTTTCATCTTGCAAATGGACATAATTATAAGAAAAGCAAAATACATGTTGTTGAGTTAATGAAGGTGTCTGAGAAAACCTTCCTGAAATGCAGCAATCAATTTTACTTTTCCTAATAACTTTATTTTGAAGTTTTATTTAAATACACTATATATTTTTCCATTTGTTTAGAATCACTGTATGAATGTTAAATTCAACCTTATGAAGCCTAAAATGCCCCAGAGTGATGATTTAAATACAACCTTTTATAGGATTTTATTATTATTATTATTTGCATTCAGAGGAAACAGATGAATAAAGCTAAATGAAGCAAACTTTTATTTGTGTAGTTGCGTTGTTTCAACACCTTCCTTAAACAACTGCCCATGTTATTTTTTTTCCAAGTTTTTCATGAAAGACAAAACACTTTTTTTGAAATTCCTGACAAACTTGAAAATGACTTAGGCGATTATTATTTCTTAAGACATGCCCATAAATTGGGACCAGCACGCTTACCTTTTTCTCCAGTATTTCTAATTGTTCTTTGTAGAAACTGGAAATGGTGGCCAGCTCCTTTTCTTTCCGATCCAGTTGTTTGGCCTAAGTAAGAAAACAAAGGAGACGAGACACTAAGATGTATTAAGAATGACAGCTAACATAAAATAAACTAATGAAAACAGCTTTAAAAAAAGGACAGAATATGAGGCTGCTGCTGACATTCTTCATACTGAGTCATGTTAGCGGAATGAGAAACTCAAGAAAAATATATTTTGTTGTAAAATACCATTAAAGTCCATTTTAACATTCACATTTACAAAGAAGCCAAACAGAACCTAATGAGCTCAGATAAAATATTTACTGCCTTTTTTAGATCAGAACATCTGGATCAGCCAACATAAAAAAGTGGTGAAATAGCTCTGTGGCAAAAACATTGGTTTTCACTAAGCTCAAAAACTAAAACTGAAAATATTACTCTTGAATCCACATTTTGCACATCATTTATAGCTGTAGTCAACGTATCAATCATCTCTGCATCATATTCAAGTAGAACAGTAGCAACTATGCACTCATTCTTAAATCACATATTCTAACCCTGATTGCATGCACATGACCACTTGCTATGTAGTAGTTTGTTACCTGTAATCATTTGCTAAAGTCTACAATTAAGCAGTATCGGGAACTATTTTTAATGCACAGTTAGATGTTGGTATAATACATGCTCTGCAACAAGATATGTAAGACAGATCATTTTACATGCAGGCAAACAAAATGTAATACATATGATTTTACCTTTCCAAAGTATTGACTTAAAGACTGCAAGTTATGATTTGTTTAGTATRTTCCAGTATCCTAATATTATTGTCTGACTCGATCATGCAGAGTTAAATTGTTAAGAACGGTGTTTGGTGAAAATGAACAAAAACAGACTAAAGAATATTGCATAAAGCTATATTACAAAGTAATGCACTGAGTAGCAATTTGTTAGTACACTGACACATTGTGGCAAAACTTACAAAACTACCAAGGTGGTATGAGAGGGGCACAGCTGTGGCAGGAGCTGACATGGCGTTGCTGACATTAGGATGAAGTGAAAGTCTTTAATAAGCCCACTGAGCCAAGCTTTGACAGGCAGCAGGATGGAGGATTGGCTGAAGGTAGACCCACAGTTTGGGCCATGGCAAAACAGCATGCAAGCAGAGGAAGACAGAAGGCAGATGTCAAAAAATAAAAAACAAAAAAAGAAAGAAAAAAGAAAGTGTCACTTTAAAAATAAGTTGACAGTTTAGCCTGAAGACAGACATTTTATGGAAAGTTTTTATAGAAATAAGATGTAACTTTTGTGACAGAGAAAACAAGTTTCAAAAGCAAGAAGAGTCCACAGAGTCTGTTGACACTGCTTTATAATTTCAAACTGAATTTCATGAATAGATAAAAATCAAACATGCAAAGACTGTAAAAAAATGTAATAATGCACTCAAAACAAACGCAAAAAGGCAAATGACAGAAGCTGGAGCAGAAATTCTAAAAACACTGTCAAGCTCAATGTGCCCTATTACTAACTCATCTAATTTTTATTTGTCAAGTTAATTAAATTTTTGTTGACTAATAAGAATTAAAATAAATCCACTGACACTTAATAAGTGGAACATTATATTTTTTATTCTCTATAACAAAAATAACAAGAATGTTTGTTGCACAGACAGTCACAGAGTCATGTGCCAGACAAAAACTTTATCATATGCTTCACAAAAAATCATAATGTTTTTTGCTTTTTGGCATCCATTATATACAGTATATAATCKTAAAACTGACTGGAACTAATTTATCTGAACTAAAACACCAATGAAAGMAGATTAAATCCTCTATAATATTCTCTGTGGGTTGTTCAAGAATCTTAGGCTCTGACTCTGAATACYTTTGGTTTTTGAGGGCACTCATTATAAGTAAAACAAATTTTGAGCATTCATCTAGTTCCCAAAGCAACAAAGGAAGATGAGTGCCTCAAACTGTACTGCCAACCAAATACGTAACATCTCTTTATACTGGCAGAGTTTGATTTTGAAAAAAAAAGTATGTTTATGTAAATTACTGTCAGAGCTAAAAGTCAGATTCTCAAAGATCTTCATGAGAACTGGTGGGAAACATTTCTCAGAAGAAGAAAGTGTGGAAGAGGCTGAATCTTCCCCTTCACATAGAGAGATAGCAGGTATGTCAGGAAAAGCTACAATTGGTCCTCACTRCTAGAAACAGGCATCAGACATGGTTGCAACGACAAGTAGTCAAATATTTTTCATCCTGCACTATGGTTTGAACACATTGAGGACACTGTATTATCCTGAACAAGATTTCTCTGATAAAGTGAGAAGCTTTTCATGCAAGTTTACGAAGTGGTTCATCCTATACAGTAGAGCTCACTGTAAGAAAACATTTCACTCTTTCTTTCAGTCTTTCTAACCCTGATGTGTTTGTGGCTTTTTTTAACCTGTATTTATACAGGTACTCTCACTATAGGACTCATTCATGAGGACTCATTTTCAAGAGAGACCTGTTTGAGACAGACAACATGACAAACAACAATAAAGGCTTGATATARAAAAATAAAAACTGACTAGATGTCATATTTAGATTGTACAGTAAGGACAGTTATTCGATGCAAAGACTGCAAACTGCTCACACCTGCCAAACTAGACGATTGTGCTTGCAAGGCAATATTAGTTCTATTTGCTTTGTGAATATGATGTTGAGAGGAAGCAGGTGCAGAGGTAAATTATGTTCAAGAATTGGAGCAAAAAATACATTTTTTTGATGAATCAGGCGACTCATAAAAAATGTAAATGGTAGACTTGCATACATAAAGACTGCAAATGGCCTCAGTGTTTTAATATTTTTGTCTAAAATAAACAATCAAGAAAGCACCTTAACAGCTCATAAAARTGAAAAACATCCATCCATCCATTATCTTCCACTTTATCCAATGTCGGGTCARGGGAGCAGCAGCTTGAACAGGGAAGCCCAGATCTCTCTTTCCCCAGCCACCTCTTCCATCTTCTGGGAGGACTCCAAGGCATTCCCAGGCCAGCCGAGAGACATYGTCTCTCCAGCGTGTCCAGGATCTTTCTTGGGGTCTCCTCTCAGTTGGACATGCCTGAAGCACCTCCCTAGGGAGGCGTCAACTGGCTCCTCTCGATGTGGAGGAGCAGTGGCTCTACTCTGAGTCTCTCCCAGATAACTGAACTTCTTACCCTATCTCAAAGGGAGAGTCCAGCTACCCTTTGGAGAAAACTCATTTTGACCACTTGTATCCGCGATCTTGTTCTTTCAGTCGCTACCCAAAGTTCGTGACCATAGGTGATGGTAGAAACATTGATCGGTACAGCTCAGCTCCCTCTTCACCACAACAGAGTCCGCAAAACTGCAGAAGCTGCTCGATCCATATATRAGTCTCACACTCCATTCTTCCCTCACTCGTGAACAAGACCCCAAGATACTTGAACTCCTCCACTTGAGGCAGAACTTCACCCTCAACTCGGAGAGAGCAATCCACCCTTTTCCAACTGAGGACCATGGACTCAGATTTGGAGGTGCTGATCCTCATCTCAGCTGCTTCACACTTAGCTGCGAACCGCTCTAGTGAGAGATGAAGATCCTGGCGCYATGACGCCAACAGAACCACATCATCTGCAAACAGCATGGATGAAATCTTGAGGCCAGCGAACCGGACTCCCTCCGRCCCCTGGCTGCACCGAGAAATTCTGTCCATGTAAGTTATGAACAGAATTAYTGACAACGGGCAGCTCTGATGGAGTCCAACTCCCACTCTGAAGGGGTCCGACTTACTACCGGCAATGCGAACCAAACTCTCGCACCGCTTGTATAGAGACTGAATTGCCCTTAACAACGGACGCACAATCCCATACTCGCATAGCACCCCCCACAGTGTACCTCGAGGAACATGGTCGAATGCCTTCTCCAAGTCTACATAACACATGTAGACTGGATTAGCAAACTCCCATGACCCCTCGAGGACCCTAGCGAGGGTAAAGGTCCAGTGTTCCATGGCCAGGACAGAACCCGCATTGTTCCTCCAGAATCTGAGGTTCGACTATCGATCAGACTCTCTTCTCCAGTACCCCTGAAAAGACCTTACTGGGGAGGCTAAGGAGAGTAATACTGAAAAACATGATTGGAAAAATATACAATCATAAAAATGCAGATTATTTGACTATTTAACATAGGATGGCATGATAAGATAAGATAAGATAAGATAAGATAAGATAAGATAAGATAAGATAAGATAAGATAAGATAAGATAAGATAAGANAGATAAGATAAGATAAGATAAGATAAGATAAGATAAGATAAGATAAGATAAGATAAGATAAGATAAGATAAGATAAGATAAGATAAGATAGACAATTATTATCATTGTACAGAACACAATGAAATTACAGTTCAGAATGCACAGGAATGTAAAATTTCTTAAAGCATTCAAACAGTCTGTAGAGATTGGTCAATGCTGTAACTGTTTGCACTTAAAATAAAGGGTACTTAGTGCTCAAAATATGGCATTTGTGAATTTAAATCAATTCTAACTAATGAGAGAAAAGAAAAGCTAGACAAACATAAATGATACAGAGCCTTGCACATATGCAGTTTAACTGTGACTGATTACCGTTCCCTACTTGTGCATTAGTGAGAGTGATATACTGTAGATCAGACAGAACATTGTTTCCCTCACTGATCAGGTCATCATCTGTACTCATTCAGCCAAGCCCACTTACACAGATTGACATTACATTTACTGTAATCCAGCATAATCTCATCCTAATTTAACAGACACACGCATCACGGAAGAGCACATCTGAAAATACTCACACTGCCTTCACAGCACCTTTTCTTTCTCCAGCAGCTGTTTGATGCTAAGAGGATGGGTGTATATGTGTGTTTGCATGTAAAATCACTCCTGCCAGAAGCACAGATGATGTGTAATTTTCTAGCTGAATACCTCCCAAAGTGTTGTTGTGTGAAATGGCGGTGGCAGCACACTTGCAGCCTTGCTTTAAAGCACAATGAAAACATGACATTTGAATAGAGCAGAGAAACTGAAGAGAGAGAAGAAAAGGCAAAAAGTAAAAAAAAGGCAATATCAGTGCTGCTTACCCATGCATCCAAATCTGCTGGCTGGGAAACAGAAAAGAACAGTGTTTAGAGAGACAATAGAAGGTAAAAGTAAAGCAGAAAGTTGGAAGAAACAGTAGCAAGTTAAAGAAGAATATGAACAAGTATATTATAAATGGAAAGAAGTAAGGTGAGGGAAAGATATACTAAAGAAATGAGAATCTTTTTTTTTTTTTGGCTTTATGTACATGTAATTTGTGACTACTGTTTTGTTTCCACTATTCTGGCTTAATGTGAGCTCTGTGAGGACACAATTTTCTACTGCAATCATTTTTAGATTTATTTGGTTAGSTTTCTAAATTAAAGCACCTGTTCTTAAGAACTTTTTGAGGACTTTAAGAACTGGTTAGGCTCATTGCACACAGGTTATAAAGACCAACATGTTTGCTCCACCAGGTGGTTGCTGTGATTGAACAACTCTCGAGTGACGTGCAGCACGYCCCCGTCGCTGGACATACACTTTCAACAATATTGGAGGGTGCTGTAGTTGAAGCTGTATATTATTTTATTTTACTGTTATTTAATTAGGCAAAATATGAACAAAATGTAGATTGAGTATTAATTTGTAGTATTATTTTGCTTGATGAACAAAATATTGGTTAAGATTTGTATTTGTGTTGTGATGCTGTTTGTTGATTATTTGTAATTATATTGTGTATCTAGTTGAGTTTTATTATTCGTATGTTGTACGTTTTTTAGATACATATATTGTTTTAATTGAGGCAGATGTTATAAGATTTTATTCTTCTTTCTGCTCCTTTTTATTTGACTAGGTTGTGATTGTGTTTTTGACACAACGATGTTGTATTATTTGTTTGTTTTATTACTATTTGTTTGAGTGTTGAATGAAATAAAGTTAATAAAAAAATCTTATTGAGATCACAGATCTCTTTTGGAAGAGCAGCCTGGACCTGAAGGCAACCTATRGTACATATTTTTGTGTCATATGTAGAGTTGGTTTAACTGTCAAAGCAGCATTAGAAAGAGCAGTAAAAACATTCAGAACATGATCAAACAGATCAGTCCACTTTGTACCGCATGGTGAAAGAAGAGCACATTGTAYCAGATAACAGCAATGACTGCATTTATTACTTTAACAATGCAAATGCAACTTTAATAATGTGGAGGGTGGAAGAGCTTTCAAGTTGCTTGGCCAATCAATGTAATGTACATTTATATATGGACCAATCACATCTCTTTACATCACTTAAGAGTTCCTGATGAACAAATAAAGTGCTAACTTTGAAGCAGAGACTAAAATAGATGCAAAAAATCTATTGTAAAGACTATGAATGGTCGCATTAGCGCAAAAACAATAAGGCAAAGGGTGAACTATCTCAAATAGTCACAAGAGATGTAAAGTGGACCCCTACAGTCTGAAAATGCCTAGTGAGCCTTTTGTTGTGGTTTAACAATATGTTTTTTATTTATTACTAAGCCCATTTTGAAAACAGTTGCCTTCATTAAAATACAAAGGTTTACTAATAACAAAATGGTGGGATAAATCCTTTAGATTGATYCTCAAATGAAAAAAAGATTCTTCTGTTAGTAAAGGGGTATGTTCTGCATGTTTATTACTGCCCGTTTTACAGCAGATCTTAGTGGGTTAGCCAGAACTGAGGAGCAGCTGCTTACACTCAATAATTATAAAATTTTATGGCTGCATTCAACACGTACAGTCATGCAGGTTATTTATACTTCACTTACATATGCAACCATCACCAAATCAAACAATGTTCAGACATGRATGATGCCACAGTCGGGCTTCCCAACTAAGTGCTCCCAGTCTGGTATTAGCTACAGAACAGAGAGGGACAGATTAAATCAGTTGGTGGCTCTAATGTTGCTATGCCTCATAAAAACACCATTCAGTTAAATGAAGTGAACTCACAAAGCCAGTGGCTGCAGAAATGGGTACGTGTGGTTTTGGGTAATCTGTGTAACGGATACAGTTGATGCCATCTGCTAAACTTCCCTGCTCTTCAATCGCTGGTCCGAAACTGAATGTGTCTGGATGTGCCTGTGTGTGTGTGTGTGTGTGTGTGTGTGTGTGTGTGTGTGTGTGTGTGTG